ATCAGATTTATTTTTTATAGAACTTATGCACCGAATGATAGTTTGTGCATATGAGGTAATATTGAAATTAAAATAAMCTTAATTTTTTTAACCTTTAACTAATACATTTTATGATATTTTTAGACATGTTTTCTACAAGGTAGAACAGTTTTTCAAGGAGGAGCAACAGTTGGAAAAACTCTGTTAGCTCTTACAGTTGTTCGAGCTGATAAACTATTTAATATAAGAGGTCAACAATCTGATGTTGTTGCTTTAATTCCTGGTGGTGATATTGGTTGGGAACGAGCAGCACGTCGTTCAATCACAAAAAACTTAGTTTTTGCATTCTTGTTTCCACTACCTTTTATCACAGCAGCAGCTAATCAAAATAGATGTGCATATGATGTTTTGTGTGGAACAATGGTTGTAGAAGTTATACAACCCCTTAAGTGTGACCAATCTGAACTTATTCCTATTGAGTCATAAGATTGTTATTTAATTATTATTTGTATAAAATGAATTAATCATAACTAGGGCTCAGAAGTTGATGACCTTAAAAACAATAAAAATGACCTAAAAAAAATGCAAATATAATGACATAAAAATGGAAAAAATTACAAATATTAGTTTTAAATTAATAAAAATACATTTTTTAAAATTTTTTTTCTCTATTTTACCCTATAATTCTATATAAATTTATCAAAGCTTCGAATTACTTAAAATATGATATAAAAATGACAAAAATGAAACTATGACTAGTCTAATAAAATGACTAATCTTAGTTGGTGGTAATTTCCATGTTTTAAGTTATTGGCATAATGGTCGTCAAGAAGCGATAAGAACTGAATTAGTGTGAAATCAATAAAAATCACCTGAAAATGTCAAAAAATGACTTAAAAAATAAAAACACCAAATGCAAATAAAAATTAGTTATTTAGATCCATAATGCTAATGAAACAGATTTGTGGCCAGGAGAGCATTGTCTAAATTTTAGACTCTAAAAGGTTCCAAAACAAAAAATGCAATATGCATCAACTTCCGAGCCCTAATCATAACTATCAATATGTATCACTTTGAGTGATATTTTATTATAAAAATATGTACAATAAAAATTCTTCCATATGAATTTATTARAACTTGATAAAATATATAATTTTTTGAATTTTGAATGTTCTGTAGTTTTAAACTAAGTTTATTTATTAACTTAAGTTATTAATTTTTGTTTTGTTTGCTTAAAAATGTTAAGTAATAAAATTTAATTGTATTAAGCTTGGAGCATGACTGTACAAGTCGTTTTTTTCAACTTTAATAGTTGTTGCTTTGTGTTTTTTAATTATTTCTCTACACTTTTAATTGAAAAGCGGCTGGAAGTAATATGTTTCATACATAGTGAGTAGTGACCTAATAGATGACTATTAGATTAAATAACAAGAGAAATAGTTTGAATTTTAAAATTGAATTGCTTAAAATTACAACAGTGTTGATTGACAATTCCATAGTTCTCAATCTTAAAAATAAATAATAAAAATATAATAATTTATGTTTCTTATTTCATCAATTACATTTTACAATTAATAATAAATCTTATAACCTATAGTTGTACAATCAAAGTCTATAACTGTAATGTATTTGTAAATCTTGTAACACTAAAACTA